AAAAAAAAAAAAAAAAAAAAAAATCTGGTAAGTTTGCACCTGGTTAAAATGTCAGTATTTTAATAATTATGAATTTGAGAAAGAGGGAGTGGCACATCTCAGAGTGACTGCTTTCTGACGGAAGGAGCAGGTGTGTTCAAATCTACGAGGTCATAAGGGGTCTGATTTTTTTCTTACTTTTGATTTATATTACTTCAGATATCCTGAATTTGGGGGTTTAGGCTTATACATTATTCAGTTTCATAGAGCTGTTTGCTTAATCTGAGCTTTTGAACTTCAGATGAACCTGACCTGAAGTCTAGAGTTTGTAGTGAAACCTGAAACTAAGCAAGCTCCCCCTGGTTCCAGTTTAATTGTTGAAGTAACCTCAATAACTTCAGGGCGTAGGAGGCATGTACCTGGCGCATTTCAGAATCAGTGACCTTCTCTTCAGGCACAGCTGCCACGCACACAACTATGGAGTTCTCTGGTGTGCTGGCCTGCAGCTGCAAACCTGAAACCCTCAGGAATCCTTTCTTGTTCCACCTTCTGGAGCTAATTCTCCTTCTGCACCCTAGTCCTCAGTCTAGCCAGTTCCTCTTCCAGACTTTTAATGTGCTCCTTCAGCGCGGCCTTGTCCTGTTGCTCTTTCTGACTGGCTTGGCTTCGTGCTTCCTCAATCTTCCTCTCATACCACTTTTCCATCTGGGTAGAGACAGCCTCAAAAAAATACTGGGTCAGCTCCAGAGCTTGGGAGGCATCTCTGGGATGAGGGGCCATCTGCTCACGGCCTGCTGCTGCCGCTAGCAGCTGGGCCCGGTGCCTTGTCTGTCCGCTTTTCCCAGACTTCCTAGTTTGGGTGCCTCTGTTGACACAGGGCCCAGCCTGATCACATCTGGCTGGCTCATTCAAGGATGGAGAGGCTGTCTGGACCTTGACATTCCTCAGACGGGAGCCTGTGCAGTCAGAGCAAGACAGCTCCTCCTGGAGTCTGTGGGGAGCTGTGGAGTTGAGGCCCTTTTCCTTGGGCCTAACCACCTGAGGGGAGCTGTCAGAGGCGGCTGCTGGACCTGCAGTCTCCACCGATTGATCCACACCTGGTTTTAGAAGGAAAACAAACATCAGAGCAAGTCCGTGTTCACACACCCACATGGCTGGGGGTCGGTGTCTGAGAGCTGTGGGAACTCTGTAAATCCCCAGAGTTCCCAAATACCACCCTGCATATGTAACCCTTCTCACCCCCCGTGGCGGTCCTTGCCTTTCTGTCCCTCCCTTCCTCTTCATCTCCCCTGATTATCATTTTAGATTGTCAGGGCTTTCATGAATTCTGTGTTAACCACATGGCATCATCTAAGCCAAAAACGCTGCTGGCTTTCCTTTATCCTGCCTCAACCTACCTGAGAAGGCTCTGGGTGCCCTTTCCTGACGCCTCCAGAAGACATAGTTCACCAAGCAGCTCAAAGCAGAATAGGACAGGTATCTAATTCTACCCTATGCTTTGGCCCAGTGCACTAGCTCCTTGGCCCAAGGTCCAATTGGGAAAGGAGGTCCAACCCCCCTTGCCCAGAGCTCCATGACAAGCTTCACGACTAGTCCCAGCAGGAAAACTTTGCCCAGGATGTTTCCCAATGTTGTTGGCACAAAGAATTAAAACCATGTTCCAGAGATGGCCTGTGGTGACACAAAACACTTAATGTATCAAAATCCCCCACTGGGGCCTAATGAGGAGGCTCTGAACGTTCTCAAAATAATCACCACTGAGTGTGATCACTATGGCTGATGTTAAGAGCTCTACTCGAAGCATTTCTAAGGTAGCTGCTGTGACATGTTCCATACTGAACTGCTGTTTAACAAGGATTTGTGGAGCTGGACAAAGGCAGACAGCTGATTAGGGAGAAGAAAGGGGTAAGAGGCACAGAAGGCAAGGCAGAGAGCCTTGCTGGGGAAAGGAGCCATCCCCCCTCTGTGGGGTCCACTCGGCATCAGCCTGTAGCAGGGGTGTTATGGCCAGTCAACAGTTTATTCCTTCATCGAAGTACATCTGAGCACTTTAATAGGAGCGAGTGCTTTACTGTTGGGTAGTGACTGAGAGTGCAGCTGCAAGTGACACGTTCTTCCTCTCCTGAGCATATGCTGCATCTGACCGTCTGCAGGAGAGAACAAAGTGTGGAGGCTGTGCTACCTCTGGACAGAGGGCTCTGTGTGTGAGTTACCTGTAGATGATTCGCAGGTAGATGGTGTGGATTTGGCCCTGGAGGTCCTCGAATCCCCAGAAAGCTTCAGCTCTAGACTCTGAATCTTTAACACGCACCAGGTTTTTAATTCATCCACCAAGGACATCTAAAAAAACAAAACCCCTAAATTAGTACACAAAAGAACCAAGTGAATTTGATGCACAATTTATAAATTAAATCATAAAAAAAAGACATTTCAATTCTGATAGTTGAGGATTTTTATACAAACACACACACACACACATACTTATATACTTTCTTTTGGAGACAGAGTCTTACTCTGTCGCCCTCAATAGAGTGTTGTGGCATCATAGCTCACAGCAACCTCAAACTCCTGGGATCAAGCAATCCTCCTGTCTCAGCCTCCCAAGTAGCTGGTACTATAGGTACCACACACAATGCCCCACTGGTTTTTCTACTTTTGGTAGAGATGTGGTCTCACTCTTGCTCAGGTTGCTCTCAAACTCCTGAGCTCAAGAGATCTACTTGCCTTGGCTTCCTAGAGTGCTGGGATTACAGGCCTGCGCCACCACACCCAGCTTCTGACAAACCCCCAAATTGTGGACTGTCCACCCTCTCATAGGCCCCAGTAGGTGCCCAGCAGAGACTTGTTCTTAGTCTTCATTTGGAGATGTACAGCAGCCTTAAACTCAGCCACCCAGAGCCACCCGTATCTTCCTGATCAAGAAGCATAAATTGGCTGGGCGTAGTGGCTCATGCCTGTAATCCCAGTACTCTGGGAGGCCAAGGCAAGTGGATTGCCTGAGCTCACGAGTTCAAGACTAGCCTGAGCTAGAGAGAGAGAGTGACCCAGCCTTTAAAAACAGCCAAACACCTAGCTACTCGGGAGGCTGAGACAAGAGAATCAACTCTGAGCCCAAGAGTTTGAGGCTGCTATGAGCTATGATGCCATGGCACTCTACCTAGGATGACAAAGTAAGACAGAGTAAGGCCTGTAATCCCAGCACTCTGGGAAGCCAAGGCAAGTACATCTCTTGAGCTCAGGAGTTTGAGAGCAGCCTGAGCAAGAGTGAGACCACATCTCTACCAAAAGTAGAAAAACCAGTGGGGCATTGTGTGTGGTACCTGTAGTACCAGCTACTTGGGAGGCTGAGACAGGAGGATTGATCCCAGGAGTTTGAGGTTGCTGTGAGCTATGATGCCAAAAAAAAAAAAGAAGCATAAGTTCTCAAACACTCATGTGTCATCACATCAGGTCTGTGCTGGTGTCATAAACTCCTGGAGGGCAGAAACTACATCTGTACAACAACAAGACCCAACAAAAGCACAGTACTCAGAATCGGCTCCCGGCAGAGATGACAGTCTCCCAGCATATTCAGCCACAGACATAAACAGAACTATAGGTTCTTTCCTATTAACTGCACTCTGGGGTTATAAAAGTGATATGCTATGTAATGCAAATACTTTTACAGAGTCCGGACTCTGGGTTTTCAACGACAGGTCTGAGTCAGCGCAGTGGACGTGCGTGGTCAACCGTTTAGCTGAGGACAGGCAGGTACTGTGTTTACCTGCCGTTTCTCTCCCTCGCACTTCTCCATGTCCGAGTGCTGTTGCAGGCGGGTCAGGCACTCCGTCCTCTCTGCAGAGAGTCGCTCAACCATCAGCTTGTCCAAAACTCGAATCTAGGATTCAAGGGAAGCAGAGCACATGGCTGAGAGGAACTGTGGATGGCCCTGGTCTCAGCTCCTGAGGAGGAGCTCTGGGCACCAAGCAAACGTCACTCCTCACTCTATTCTGTTTTCGCATCGTATTCATGGGGCTCTGTTTTCTCAGAATGCCTCAGCATGGTTCTAGGAGGCCAATGTTTCTTTTTTTTCATTTGTTAAAGGAGTTTAAGAGATATGAATACGTAGTAAATGTATAGCCTGAGCCCATGTAGGCCTTGTAGGAAAATAGTAATTTTTTTTTTTTTTTTTTTTTGG